AATAGGCCCGCGATTGAACGGGCTGGCCAAGCAAAGGCCCAAGCCCGTCCGTTTAGGCGGGCGGGCGGGCCAGCCCGCGGGCCATGGCCCGTTTTGACAGTGCTAATTATACCGCTATTGTGCTCTTGAATGCGATACTTGATTCTTACAATGTGTAAAATATGCTATTAAGTATGGTAGAGATAATGTGAATCTTGAAATTGTTGTGAATGGTTTGAAATGTAAAGAGTTGTATTTAGAAATAAACAGGGGTAATGCCTCAAAATAGTTTTCAAAATGTCTCAAAAAAACCTCATAACCGTGAGTTTAATTTTGTGAGGAGAATGCCCCAAAATCGTTTTCAAAATAAAAAACCTCCGGCAAATCAAAATTTTCGAAAAAAGAAGAGTACGTTGAAAAATAAGTCGAAGTTTGGACCGAAAAACTGTAAGTGTCATATTTGTGGTGAAATTGGTCATTACATGATTGACTGCCCTAATCCCAAGCAAAACCAGCATAATGATCATGCGAATATGGCATCCAGTGGTGAAAATCTTTGTGCTGTTTTTATGTGACTGAAATGCATGATAATGTAAATCATGTGCGTTCTTGTTCTCTTTGTGAAAATGATGGATTAATTGTTGATTCTGCATGCATTTCATAAGTCTCCTTTCAAACACTTATTTTTGAACCACAAAGATGTGAAGCACTGATTTGTTTCTGTGGCTAATGAGAAATCGTATGATGTTGCTGGTCTTGGTGATAATTGCTTTAGATGTGATTCTGGTTATGTGCGAACCTTAAAAAATGTGAGGCATGTCCCTGATTTGTGTCATAATTTGATAACATATGTTCCCTTAGAAGATGATGGTTTAGAGGATAGATGGGGGAAATGGTGTTATGAAAATTTTGAAGGGTTGTTTGGTGATCTTCAAAGTTGTTAAAAATTTGAACTTGTATGTTTGCGTTGTTAAATCTTATATGTAAAACCATGTGAACGATGTCTTTGATGACAAAACTAATTTGTGGCATAAGCGTTTAGGTCACATGAGTAAGGTTCCCCTTTTCAAGGTCTGTAATATAAGTTTGTTTTGGATGAGCTTGACTTTAAACTAGACTAAGAAGCTAGATTTGAGGGCTTGCCAAATCTTCTGAGATGTGTTCATGCCAACCATCATACAAGTAAATTTTCAGAGACTGGGGATAGTAGCCATGAGGCAAGAAGTTGATCATTCCTCATCCATGAGATAACATCTGGATTCAATTGGATCTATGAAGTTCCTTTAGAGATGATGGTCTGAGGTTGAGCTGAGCTTTCTTTGGGGACAAAACTTTCCAGACCATAACCTTTAATGGTTGTGTAGGCATGTTGCTTCTATAGAAGATAACTGTTATTTGTAAGTTTGATAGATAACAACCGATGATGTGGTTGGATGAGGCTAAGCTGTATGACTGTATTTAAAAGAGGAATGTTTGTGTGGCTCAATGATGAATCTACCATTTTTATCAAGTACATAACTAAAGACAAAAGGCAATAATAAAAAAGAAGTTGTTTTTGGTAAATCAGGCTCATGTATGAACCCGAGCTCTGACCATGTTGGAAAAGTAATAGCAAGAACAAAGGCCATTAATGAGCAATCATATAAACAAGCAATGCGGAAGATGAATAGGGTAAGCTCTTGAATTGTGTGTTGCGACTCTTGTTACTATGCTACCTAAAATAGAGACTTAGCTGCAGCTTAACTCTAACAAACTGCCAAAGAGAGAGAAGCACGACCAGCCTAATCTTGCAGCCATAGTACAAAAAAAAAAGGAGCCTACTGTTCATGCATGGACATCTCATGCATGCAACCAAATACAATAAAACAAAGCTATAATGCTAAGTTGTTATTTGCAATGTTTTGTTACTTCAATAGTATTTGTTATATAAGATAGCTAGGTTTACTCATTGTCGTGTTGAAAATTTCTATATAGAGAAGAATGATTAATAAATTTTCTCCATAGAAACTTTTCCAATAGAGAGAATAATTAAATCATTCGTCTAGATTTTTAACGAGATAATACATTTATAACACTGTTCGAGTAAATTTAAAAACTATCGATCAATCATACGATGATCAAAATCGTAAAGAATAAAAAGAAAATTTATTACTATATAATAAGGCCAAAGATGTAACTAAATTTGTAAGTAAAATTTCACCTAATCTTTTTTTTTTTTTCCCTTTTTTTCACTTTCTAACTTCTTATTATGTTGAAAATTTTTATCCTATATTCTTGTTTATAATTTATTTTAAATATTTATCATTGTTTTGAAAAATTTGACCATATTTATTTAAACAGTAATTATGTTCATCAATTAATAAATCGTTTATATATTTATTTTTAACAATTCTAAAGTTTCAGCCATAAAAATTTATAATACACAGTGTTTGGACAAATTTAGCAAAATCTTGTATAGCTAAAAAATGGATGGAACATTTTCCTAATAAATTAATGTATTTCATTGAACCGCACGATTTATATACCGTATTGAAAATAGTATGCTTTGATTTTTCTAATATCAAAACAGATACCAACGCACATATAAATACATTTATATCTATATCTATTAAGATAAATAGGGACTAAAGATTTACTTTATATAGTGAGAAACTATTAACCTACATTTTTTTTATTTTACTAAATATAGGAATTTCAAAATATTTTTAGTTTTGCCGCCTTTAAAATTTGATAAATAAATTATAAAAATAATTTTAAATTCATAATATGATAGTAATTCAAATTTAAAATTTGATAATATAGTTTGCAGCACATCTGGGAGTATCAATTTAGAAAGAAAATAATAAATATAATGTAAACCATATACTTAAATGTATATATCATTTTTTTTTATTTCACAATATATTCATGTGAATTATCAATTTGTTCAATTCCATGCGAATGTGATTTTTTTTTTTTTTTTTTTTTTTT